ATAAGAAGTTCTAGATACCATAACAATCTGGATTACATTTCACCTGGCTGACTTAAAGGAATAATTTGACATTTTAGCAAATGTGCTTATTTGCTTCTCTTTTTTTCGCTGAGAGTTAGATGAGAAGATTGATACCACTCTCATGGTTGCATGGGAACTACAGCAAGCAGCTAGTTAGCTTAGCTTAGCTGTTTCTGCCAGCTTCTAGTCTTTATGCAAAGCTAAGCTAACCGGCTGCTGGCTGTAGCTTTACATTTATCATACAAAAGTGAGAGTAGTATCAGTCTTCTCATCAATGCAAATAACTCTTCTTCTAAACTCTCCCTTTGAAGATCACAATCTACCGGCAATGTTTTGAGGTGTGATTCTTTTTGCATTCTGAAGGAAAATAATGCAGCATACATTCTCTCGCAACATTTCCCATGAACTCTCTAACCAGAAAAGGTGAAATGTCCCATCTGCATACACAAATATAATCAACTGCACCAATGCCAGAGTGGAAATAGTGGCAAGGCAACTGCAAAATGTGCATTTAGCCACTTGCAGATAAAAGTATGCGGGCACCATTAAAAGTGAAATCTACTCAATTTCAAACATACATAAGCCTTGAAACACAAGTAAAAGACATCCAGTAAAAACCATATATCTATATGTACACCTCCATCTGTTAGTTCTGCATGGGAGCCCTCAATCATATTACTGTGGGCCCCCGGGGTAATTTCTTTTTTTCAAGGCAGGAAACTAATGGAGGACAGGGATGTGAGTAATCAGAGCAGAATGGGCAGGAACGGACGACCACAAGTGGCTGGTGCTCGTCGGGGGAATCTGGACGCAGAGGTTAGGCAGGGATAGGAAAACCACACTGGAAAACTGACTTGGGAATGGCATCTGGTTCCCATATCCACAGTGTATCACAATTAGCCAGCATAAAATGACTTTAATGTGTGTGTATGTGTTTGTGAGTATGTGTGTGTGTGTGTGTGTGTGTGTGTGTGTGCGCTTGTTGTTATGTGTTGGATGTTCTTGTGGGAACAGGGACGCCATGAACGGAGGAAACTGAAAGTGATGGTGTGACTGGTTATAAATGAGAGACTGTGTTTGTATAGTGTCAAGATATAAATCAAACATGGAGAAGATTTTGATTCACAATCTCAGTAAGGGAAGGTCTCGCCATTCCTGGGGAGGGGAACCATTTAAACAGCTTTAAACAAATAGGCATAAAAAGCCGAACACCTAAGCCAAATTTTTTCTGCGCAATGCGTAAGCAAATTTCTGACCCACAAAATTCTTGTCGTGGAAATGAAATGTTGAATAAGGGACAATGTTCCAGTTGGAAAAGTATTTCTTTCACTTCTTCTGTTGATTCAATTAGAACCACACCGTGGCAGGTCTATTTCTCATCATTTAATGTTATGACTTGGAGGAAAATTCCTCTCAATCAAAAAGCTGTCAAGCTTTTTCTTAAACTGCAAGGATCGCATTCATACTGTGCTAATTCTCCTACCATGCTAAGGTAGTGACAGTCAGTTCCCCCCTGTGACTATTCAGTCTGCTCAGCCAGCCAAAGTGCACTTTATTGATTGCTTTAAATTACTGAGAGTAAACCTCACGCTTGGCCCGGTACCGTCTCTCGTCATTTGGTGACAGACAAGTGCTGCTGATGGGCACAGCATGAGCCGAGCACTGACATCTAAAAGGTCAAACTCTTAATGTTGTCACATCCAGTGACAGTAGGCCTCCTCGAGCACCACTGGCCTTATGAGCCCAAATTAACGCTGTCATGTCAGATAGATCCACTTGCAGCTCACGATTGGGCTCTTCAGTCCCAAAGCCTCTGTGCTTGTGCTCATGCCCTCTGATATGAAGCACAGTTTCACATACATTCTCGTGTGAAACTGTTATGGACATCTTCTCTTTTAAACTCATGCAACAAAGCAAAAACTGTAAACTAACATCAGAGCATGCAGGGCCTCCTTCAACTCTACAGTCTCACTTCAGATAGCCTGGCACCTTTTCGACTTCTGTAGGGCAAAAGTGATCAAAGTCCGGCTAGAATATGTTTTATTAACAGGTGTGGAGCTGCGCTGCATATCAAATGAAGGATGAAGGGTTGAGGACGCCTGGGCTCCTCTGCTTCACCCCGACATTGCCTCTAATCCCTGTAGCACAGCTGCATAATTCATACGTTGTGACAGATCATCCTGAACCTGCGTCTCTAAAATCTCAGCTGATGAAGCAGGGAGGTGGTAAAACGACTTGTCAAACACAGATACAGATGCTACCAGCTTTATTTACCTCATTTCTAGCATGACTGTGCTCTTGCAAGGGCTCATGTGCTGAACTATAACTGGCCTGGCTTGAGACTCCCATGTGGTGCAGAGGCATGCTTAGTGGGCTGAAGTGGGTCTGATATTTCCAACATTGTATCGTTTTCAAATATTTCCCCCTCCTCCTAACCAGATTTTAAAGCAGGCTAGTTTCTTTCTCTGTCTGTATAATTTTAATTTAGTATGGCATACAGTGTGTGCTCAAAAAGTATAGTCGGCGGGTGGTGTTAGTGGGTACTCGAGTGCAGCCTCAGGGATGGTGTTTTATGCTTGATTGGTGCTAAATGGTGTGCACACACAGTGGTGGCTGCTTGGGGTTGATGTTTTGACACGGGCCGCCTTTGAAGAGCCGCAGAAAGATGAGGGAAGGAGATAAAAAATGAGAAGCGAAGACATGATAATTTTTGCCTCAGCTGTCATCTCACAGACTTTGCTAACCTTTATGTACAGTCCAAAAAAAAACTCTGGTTTCCGTGGCAAGAAGCGGCAAAATATCCTTCTTGTAAATGCTGGGAGAGTTGAAAATCACCTCGACCCATATGTGTAACATGTCTCCCCTAATATTTTTCCAATCTGTCTGGAGGACAGGGAAGAGATATCCAACTAAACATCACTTGACAACTGACCCTCAGATCCAATGCGGAATTGACACAAAAGCCCAAGCAGTGGAAAGAGAAAGAAAATGAAAACAAAGCAAATCACTTTTCCATGTCTAAACGCCGATGATGAGCCGCGAATAAGGATCCCTCCTGATGAGTTTTGATTAAGGAGACTCTTCTTCTTCTTCTTCTCTCTCTGTCTCTGCAACCGCAGGTCCCTGTCCGTTCATCAGCGGCTGGGTAACGATTAAATCACAGAGATCTGTAATGGCTTCAGCAGTGGTTGGTTTGTTTGGCACACAAGGCTGTGTACAATTTACGCAGTATTCCCAGAGTTATGGAGGGAGCTGTTGAATATTCATAGCGACGTGTCCCCTGCCATTCCCCGGGTGGGCATACCAAATGAGAAACCACATGAGATCACTTACTACTGTCTCTTTTTAAAGAAACTGGCACAGGATTTTTTTTATTTCGGAAACAGAGTTGACTTTTCTGTTTTTAGAAATGCAGTCAGTCATCCAGGCTTTAGTTTTTTGGGAATGTATTGTAAATTATAGCCTTTTTTGTTTAGGTTCTGGTTGCTTAGCTAAGACTAGGACCGCTACCAAACATTTACAGCCCCTTCTGCAAAATGACTTCATCAGAGAGTGATTTGCTGGCCACAACTGGAACATTGTCAGGTACTTGCTGTGTATGCACTGGATTTATGTCACACCCAAAAGTAGTGCAGTCATCCCGTACATTTAGTGGCATTTCCAGCATTTCAGGGACAGCACTTCTTGGGCTTCAGTCAGCTCCTGAGACATCTCACAGTATGAGTTTATTTGTCAGATGTAAGGCCTGACGAGAGAGGCTGAGAAGTGAGACCACCTGCACTTACTTATGTCCCAGAACCCCAGGAGCGAGTGTGTGAGAAGGCACTGAAGATTAACTTACAACTTTTATGGCTCAGTCGGCACACGCTATTATACCTATTCAATCACACTTGCCTCTAGACTATAAATAATTTTAACAGAGCACACAAATACAGTGACCGCTTGACCTGGTTATACAGCAAACTGTCACAAAGCCCGGTGCTTATGTATGGGTTTGTCTTCATCTGGGGAAACTCTGAAGTTTTCCATCTGTTCAGGGGAGTGAATCTGTGATCAACCGGCAGTGTAATGAGGTGAGATAATATGTTCGGGTACAGGGAGCTGGCACGGATGGAGGCTGGTAGCAAGGATATTACAAACCAGACCGCCCAAATGACAGGGAAAAGGGTCCCTATTAGGGGAAAGCGGGGATGAAGAGATTATTTTAATAATACAGTCTGACTGTGAGCTACAACTGAGATTTCTGGTAGCAAATTTGTCATAATCAGATGTCTTTTACATCAACTGTAAAAACACAGTTTTATGCTTTTTTGTTTTGTTTCGCATCACACTTAAAGGAATAGTTCAACATTTTGGGAAATATGCTATATTTCAGTGTCTGTATACCAAAGCAGCTGCTTAACCTCTGTCCAACGGTAATGAAATCTACCTATCAGCAAATCATAACCCCAATAATTAACATGTTATATCTTTTGTTTAATTCATACAAAAACTAAACTGTAAAAACTTAAATTTGTGGTTTTACTGTTTTTTACCTGGCTAGGTACAATGACTTCCTAAAGTCTCCACTAGGTTACGAGTAGAGAATTGTGACTGTGATGAAAAGACTTTAGAGTTGCTGGTAGACATATTTTGTTATCTTGGGACACAGCCAGGCCATCCGTTTCCCCGTTTCCTGTGTTTATGCTAAGCTAAGCTAACCAGCTGCTGGCTATACCTTAAAATTTAGCATACAGACATGAGGATGGTATCAATTTTCTGATCTAACTCTCAGCAAGAAAGTGAGTAAGTGCATTCCCCAAAACGTTTAATCTTTTAAATGTAATGTGACCTTTTATGCCAATTTAAATTTGTCTTGTAAATTGTTCTTGACTTAACACAGTGAATAAATATTAGCTGGACTGAATCATGCAGTCATGTTTTCTTTTACCTTCACGTGGCTATCACAGTTGGAGAAGATGGGAAGCAGGCATACTTACAGGAGGTCCTGAAAGAGAAAGGGAAAAAAAAAAAAAACTTGGTTAATGTGTTTTCAATCAGCGATCAAACAGACTCAGATCATCAATGTTCCTCTGAAACCACATATCCAAATAACTAAGACGGGAAATCAGGGTTTTGGTGAGAATTAATTCTTTGGGAAGGAACACTAAGGATGCATCTCTTCCATGATGCATTCACTGGCAGAACAGACAGACATTCTACTTCGGAATAACCCGTCCAGTTTTTCTATATTTCTACCTAGAACAATAGCTTTGTGACAACAGATTCCTATCTATTTTCCATGCATTTGGGCCAACAATGGCCACCGGCCCTAATGATCACATTTTACATTGGTAAGTGGCTCTAATTTCACTACTACAAGGGGTTGCGCGCTTGTTAAAAAATTCCCCCACGTTTTTGTGAGGTGACACTCGTCTTTTTCCCAATTACTGCCGCTCAAAGGACTGTGTGCCAATGCACTTCAGGGCTCCCCAGAACCCTGCAAATCATTTTATGCCTTTAGGTTCTTATTAAACAGGTACCCAGCTGCTTTAACCCTGAAAAAAAAGGATATTTTTTTCTTTACAAGTCCTATGTCCTTGAACTGTTCTTCTTCATGACCAGGGGAAAGTGCAAATCGCTCAAGCAGCTGGAGCATTTAAGGAGCCGTGTGTTTGAGGCTCGCTGGGCTGCACTTCTGTAGCGTTGTTTTATGGATCGTTGAGTTACAGTAGACCACTTAGCTTTTAATAAACCTGCACCACTGTGTATTTTTTGACATATCCCACTGTGTCGAATGGCTCAGTACAAAGTTTTCAGCTAGCAATTACGTTCAAATCAAAGAAAATCTGTGACAAAACTGTTCAGTGTGTTGCAAAGCACATAAAAGCCACCTCAAAGGTATAAACCTTCAAATGATTACATGTGATGGCCTTAGGTAGACAAAAAAACATTACTTGCTGGCATATAATCCATGTAAAATTAAATTGTCTGTGACATGTTATATAATCCAATCTCAAAGCTTCATTCAGTCACTCAGCCTGAGCTTCACTTTCTGTTCTCACACTGGCACCTTCAGTCATGTCCTCCACAGAGGTTGTAAAGGTTGTGAAGTCACTGGACAAAGTCATGCAGTGTGAGGCATTTGTTGCAAAGAAGCTGCTTTTCTTCATACTTGACACTGATGCAGCTCTGTAAGGTTAAATTGCTCATCTGGTACAATTTGAGCATCAATTCCTCCTTTTGCGAAGGCATGATGTTGAGTAAAAGTACTGATTATTCACATAAGGAAAATATGGGAAGAAAACGTCTAACACTTTCCAGCATTGACCACCTGCTAGAACAGTTTGAGAGTGCGGCTTTCACTGCTACAAAAACTTTTTCATCCTAAACTGTCATGCCACACTTTTCCTTTCCATATGTTACCGGTAAACAAACAAGAGATCCTAATGAAGTATCCCATTCATTTTTAATGCATAGGTAAATATCACCGTGTCTTTTTCCTATTTGTTCTCTCTGTCAGTTGCAGCCAAGTCTGGGCAAAAGCTTCCCCTTGCCTTTGTAGGTGAGTAAACTGCAAAACACCTCACCATGAATTTGTGGGAAACTTGCTGCGGCTTAGTTACTTTTGGTTAAAGCGAATCATGAATTAAATATGCTTCCCTTCAACATCCACCAGTGTTGAGAACTTAAAAGAGGGAAATTGGATTTGCAGAAGGCTTACAGTGCAGAATGCAACACGCCTGTGCTCGTCAAGGACTGCATTTTTCAGTCGTATAAATAATGTCTCCTAAATATTTTTTTAGTTTTTCTCCTACGGAGCGGGTACACAGACTTTGACACTGGGCTCCAGTAATGCATGGTGCCATCATATTTATTTGCTTTGAATGCTTCTGTGAGTTTCACGCAGAATATTGTTTCCACTTGTTTATGCTCGCCAACATATCCACAGGGTAATTGTAGCAGAAATAATTGCATGCAAATATGAAGTGCCAAAATTTGAAATGACATTCGAAAAGGACTTCTAAACGATTGCTTTTGTAAAATCAATGCTTTTGTGGAAGTTGCACATAAGCAGTAAACATGAAGATAAAAAGCTGGTGTGAACACCACTTAACCTCATAGTTCATGACATTAATAAAACAAACAGTCTCTTTTAGGTGAGTCACTATTTCAGGTAGACAAACTTGAGCCAAATATGTCTGATTTGACAACATACTTCAGCCTAGTTTAGTACTATAATTTGGGTTGTTGTACAGAATGGTCAGGCCTGTCATCACGATTGTTCCCTATCGTCTACCCTTAACAGACCACTGTGCCACTCCAGTTCAGACATTGTGAATAGGTATGATTGCTTGCTTGTTTCCAATTGATTTGTCAAGAGGAAGCTATTCACATTTGCTCTGGCTGAGCAGAAAGGAAAAAAAAAAAACTGTCTTTGCACAATGGTACCATTTGAAATTCGCTGGAACGGTGGATGTTTATTGGAAAGTTAAGCACCGCATAAACAAAGGCTGGCAGTATTTCAGATCTGCAGCCAACCAGAACATTGAACTGTTGTCTATCTGTCATTTGATTTCTCATTTTTTCATCTCCCTCGGCTTTAGAATCATACACTGGATTACTTTAGTATTATGTAAATCAGAAAAAAGCAAAGGCAGAGAGCCACACCACACTGATCCTGATCTCAAAATGCAGAACATGGCCACAACAGGAATCTAAATGAATTTGGCGAAATCAAAAAAACTGAAGGAGGTAATAGAATCTTTTATACGCAAATAACAGACCTCAACTGATTTGGTTTGATTCCTGTGACTTTAAAAAGTAATGGCTGGATGTGGTGGTAAAACCAGCAGTGTTTTTTCTCCCCTCATAGACACAGTGTTTGTTTCTCAGGCTGCGAAACTAAACCGCTCCCTTATTACACTGCCTCACTTAAAATTGGGACCTTGCTTTGCCCTGTCTCTCCAATTTCGTTTTACAAGGGCAGTGCTTTTGTTCCAAAGTGTTGGCTGCGCTCTCAACGCAGGAATGACGGCACACTCCAGAGCTCATTATCACTTTCACTATCAGGTGAACAGAGTGTGGATGCAGCTCACTGCCAAGTACATGTTCTCGCTGTGAATTCAATTTGTGGTGACACTTTCCGTCTGTGGGAGTGTCGCCGCACAACATGTCCCTTCTAGATACTCGAGGGCTCGGCTGGGCCAACTTTGTTAAGTCAGCTCAGGAGCGAGTGTGTGGGAGAAGGGAGGGGAGACCGGAGATCCTGAGCGCCTTACAACAACTTGTTGCTGAATTTGTGGAGGCTAAGTAAGCGTGGGCTATTATATACACACTGAAGCTGAATGTAAGTACATCATGTCTAGGGATCAGCATAGGAGGGTGTCTCAAAATGTAGACACGGGTGTCATCAGCTTCAACAAGTTTGGCCATCACTTTTACTTTCTCTAAATGCACTGTCTCCCCAGTTTTACTGTGAAAATATAGTGTTTCTATAGCGACTGAAGCTGAAACAATCCAAGTGAACACCGAAACCACCAGGCCACAAATTACACATCTATAACCTATTTTGGCCTCCAAAGATATACAGTGTACTTTTACATGATTGTAAATGCAGTATGATTTGCTGATGTCCTACTGAACTATTCCTTGAAGGTTTCTGGATAAAGACTTCAGTGATCATATGCCACACACACAAATGTACATACCAGGTTCTCCGTTGCGGCCTCTTCTTCCTCGCTTTCCCGGAGGTCCTGCAGAAAAGAAGAATATAATACATTTTAGTCAGTAATTTGATTGTCTTTTTGTTTGTATAAGTTTCATATTCTTCAAGTATTCTCAGAGTCAAACCACCCTTGAGCAGGATGAGGAAGAGCCTCTGAAAAATATTGCCTTTGGACTACAAACACCTCAATAGCTCAAGGTTCATTAAGTATTTAGGCTCTACATAAACTGAGGTGGAAAAAGGAAACACACACTGTCTTGCCACAAAAGTGCACTTCATGCTGACATCCCTGTATCTTTTTTCCTTTCTTCTGTTTTTCCTTTAAGCACGGATGCCCTGGTTTTTAATTTGTTTATCTAGACAGTGTTTTCCTGTTTGCCATTTTCCTGTCAACGCTATCAATCTGCTAAAGCTCAGCTGGAGGAGTAAAACAATTACACGCTTTGTCAGGTTTTACATGTTGAAGACCTGACAGGGTCGTATTGTATGCAGGTAGTTCTCAGTCTGGAAATTGGGAGCATCTCTGACAAAATGACCCCTTAACTGCCAGCTACACATGCAGCCTTTTACTGGGGTTGGCAGCTGGAAACCAATTTTCAGGCACTGTGTTTGCTCTCTGCCAAAAACTTGTGTGCTTTCACAATTTAGTCAAAGAGTAAAGCTATGACGTTTAGACTAGCTGGAAATTAAACATTGAGCTCTTATGGTTACGCAGTACTACATGGGAACTCTCCCCATTTCAAGAGGACTTGTCAACTCGCAATGGAATGGATAATATCTAGGAAGGAAAATTGCTCTTTCCACTCAACATTAAAAGAGCTGTCAGGATCAAAATGATTGGAAGTCAATGTAACCAAGAGGAACAATCTTCCCTGTCTGGTTCTGCATCACAGAAAATATCCAGATCCAATTTCGGGCAGCAACAATACTATGAAGAGTTATTATGCAAATCATTTAGAAAACTCTTTTGACCCCCAGACCGCCAAAGAAGAGCATTTTGTCATGTTAGAGGTTCAAGATAATTACTGTAATGTAATGGGGTTGGTGAAGGTTTTTGAACAGACACAGCTCGACATTAATTGCCTGGGTGTCAAAAGTTGCTCCAAGGGCTGACTTTGTGACACTGGGCTTTTGTCAGCAGGACTAAAAATACAAAACAACAATAATGACTAATCTAAATATCCTGATCTGACCTCCAACCCCCAGCCTGTACAAAAGTCTCTCTCTTTGTGTTTTAGTATGTCATGGTAATCAACTTTCCTTTCTGTATTTGCCAGCCTTCCTGCACGCTGGTGCCTCTGTGAATACATCCTTCTATAGGGGGAAAAAAACTTAACAAAGTTAAGAGTAAAAAAAGAACAAAGCCTTTAAGCAGTGTTTGGCTGATTTAGGCCACTCCACATGTGTTACTGGGGTGCAAAATGAAGAATTATGTTGCACAACGCTTGGTATGATGCTTAGTCCTCAATTTGATCCCACTGTTTGGCTCCACTTCAGCCTCCAACTCTGCTCCTTTTGGACATTTTCCAGGATAATGTCAGGCGCTGCCAGCAAAGGGTCCAGGCTCAGTTTAAAGTATGTAACCACAGGTGGAGTTTGACTCTCACTTTACTATGGTTCACATCAACCCTGGTTTCTTCATAGGTTTGTTTTTTAAGGTTTTAAAAGAAACAGAAGGGGGTTTACTGCACTTGGCAGTCACTTCATTATTACTCACTTTGAAATGACACTTGACACCTTTGAGAGGAATATTGTGTGCAACGATACGACATCCTCCTGATTTCGGTGGTATATTTTTGACAGCTGCTGAGAAAACGCTCCCCACATGGGAGTTGGTGATCCAGACAAAATACCCTACATTATATTTAGATATCATCATGATTCACAATATTCATGTCAATATTTTTCCATTCTGATTATAGTATGTAAGCAGAGATTCCCATACAACCCAACTTTACCAGTAACATTGAAAACCTTGTAGAAAGTATGCCAGCAAAAACACTATAACATTTCAGTTTATGAAACTTAAGTGAAAGAATAACTTAACAGCGTCTATTAGTACCAGTCAAAACAGGTTTTCACATGTTTTTTAATCAATTAAGACAAAAAAGTGACGTATTGTAAGGCCTTTGGTCATAAATGAAATGAGCTCAAACTGGGTCCTGAAGTGCTGAGAGATCTTAAGCTGCCTGTCAAGGGAAAACATCATTCTTACTCAGAAACATTGTATTGGCCTGCTATTTTCTCACAGCATCCCAAGTACGGTCATGGAACAGTGGCTTCAGAAAAAAAAAATGTGGCAGGGAATTTCATGATGAGGGTCAACAACTATGAACAATCTGTTGAAACCTTTTCAACCTTTTCAACAGCTTTGGAGTCTGAAAGTGAAATAAATCAAAGTGAACTTGATGTTCATTCAAATGTTTGGTCAGACAAAGTTTATGGTCAGACATAACAAAATGGACCCTGTGGTGTTGTGTATTGTGTTTTTACATTGTGTTATTTGGTGGCTTTTATATTTTGGAAAGTAAGCAGCGGAAAGCCACTTTACAATGCAGGAGCAGAGAGAAATGGAATTAATTTAAGTGCTGTTTGGTTTCCCTTTTAGCCGTGCTGGTGGCATGGCTCTATGAATGTGAATGTCGGCCGGCCGGCCATCACTTTGGTCCAGACTGAAATATCTCAACAACTACTAGATGGATTGTCAACAAACTTTGTACAGACATTTACGATAACCAGATGATGAATCTAACTGACTGTTGGTCATCACCTTATTTTTCTTCTACCTCCACCACATACATATATTTATTTGTGGTGTTGAGAGAAATTGGATGCATTGTCGTGAAATGTGGTCCCCCCAGACTTGCAACAACTTTGGTGATCCCTCCACTCCTCATCTAGTGTTATCAAGTCAAATTTTACTTTGTTCAAATTTTCCAAATACACGCAAAATTAATGACGAATTAATGATGAATTAATTCCCATCAGCCTCACCTGAAGTTTGTGTTTAATGCAAATGATCAAATGTTAGCATGCTGGCATGCTCAACTAGGATGCTGAATATGGTAAACATAATCTGCAAAACATCAGAACGTTAGCATTGTCATTGTGAACATGTTAGCTTGTTGATATTAATATTTAATTCAAAGAAGCACTGCTGTGCCTAAGTATAGCCTCATTAGCATGGATGTAGATTCTTAGTTTACTTAAAACAAACTTACTAAAACAAATATGTGACAACTCAAATTTAACTATATTAAAAATGCAAATATAATATTTGTAATAATTAGATGAACAGACTGCCAACATAGTCGAATCTCAACAGATCAGCACTGCTAAAACCAGATGACACGAGATGCTGAACAACACTGTTTTAAACTTTCAGGTTAGAAGGAGAGTTTCAAGTATGCAGTGACTTGGATGCAAAGTTGGAAAGCAGTGAATGTCAGTGGCTACAGCCAAAGCTGTAAATGACATATATTATGACATAATTTACATATGGACTATAGGATACTGTCAAATATCACAACAAACCACAAATTGTAATTTTGACCAGTCCAACTGCCAAACTGCCTTTACCAGTCAAGGTCATTCATATGAGAGCATTGATTATTCTCCTTTTTCTTTTAAATCATCACATAAAAGCTGACACACTGCTCAACTACATTGAACCATATAACTTCTCAAACGTCATCATTGTATCTGTTAATATGATGGTAATAGAATGTGATGTGAACGGCACCAAATTTGCTGTAAGAGCAGCATGATACCATCAGCACAATACTTTCAAGTCCCAGCATTTATTCATTTCTGCTTTTTCAGAAATAGTCAAACATGGGATATTTTATAATCCCACAGAATGTTTTTGTCCAAAATATTGATAGTAGTAGTCATTTTAATGCCATTTGGCAGAAAACAATCCCATGTAATTGGCAGTATTGGGAAACACGCTGTTTTGAAGCCATAGCTGTATTGTTTTTGAATACTTTTGCTCATGTTGTTCATTACAACATTGTTTCAAAGTTACGCATTGCTTGACATAATGAACTTGTTGTTTATATTTCATGCATTTGAGACAAAATTAAATTTTGCCACCACCCATCATCCATAAAATATTGATAGGCCCTGAACAGCAAACAGAACTGCACCTCTGCTTCTATTTCTCTTTTTCCTCCAAATCAATCAGTTTTAAGAGAACCAGCCCCAGCCTGACTCAGTTACAATACCAGCATTGTTTTAGAGCTTGATATACATAATCAGACCACTCAATGCTTCTCTCACAAAGTAATACAGCTATTTCTCAGAATAAAACTTATGCCAAAAACAGCAACTTGGTACCAACTCCAACCTCCAAAGTAAATCAGGTTTGAAGAGAATTGGCTTTAGACTTCTCAGTAAACCCAATTGCACCTTCCTGGGTAAAGTGAATCAATTTCTGCAAGTGAGAGTTATAAATCATATAGTTTGTATTGTGTCATGTTAAATTGTTTTTCAGTTTATAATGTGTATTGATTCTCCGAAACACACTTGCCGTGTTCTCGTTTTGTAACAAACACCTGTTAATTGAGATCAACTCAGTGCCGAAAATAGTTAAGATAATTTCATGTTTGATTTACTACCATTTTCCAGGGTTAGTTTTAAAACCATTTTCCCTTGCTGTCATGCTAAATTGTAAACAATCAGCCTATTCCATGGATTCCAAAAGTGCCACATGCCGACCTGTTTATATATGAGTCATAAAAATACAATGTCCAGCATGAATGTTTGGGAGAAATGTCATAGCGGAACAATACTTCCAATGCCAATGTTTTCAGAGACTGACATAAAATTGTTTTGCTGGTGTTTGGTTCAGTTATGGTAAATTTTATGCCAAGGGTAGAAGGTACCCCAAAGGCCAAAAATGTCTTTGAATGGTTTGGTTCTTAAAATGTTCTCCAGACATTTTGGAGAAGGCTTTACTGAGCAATTTTCTCTTGTTTACCCTTATATAAATATACTTTGCTTTTAATTCCCACTTTGAAATGTATG